GTGTGTGTGTGTGTGTGTGTGTGTGTGTGTGTGTGTGTGTGTGTGTGAGGACAAACTCACGTTGTTTCTGTGTCCTTGTCTTTCCTTCGTAAGCCCAGGGCTTTCCTGGTTCGTTTTTTCAGTCCTGATGCAGCCAACAGAGAGAAGAGGAAAACATTAACAGTAAATTACAGCATCGGAGCCTCGTGTAGAGTCCATCGACGTGTCATTAGGTTCCTCCTATAAGCAAACAACACTAAAAAGTCAAAGTGATGCGYTCCGTGAGTGAGCTTAAAGGGAATACAGTGAAGCTAATCGCTTTTTTAAAAAGGAGCGAATCGATTTGGAACAAAGTCCCAGCTGTCTGAAGAAAACCCAGTTTATAAATGAATGCAGTCCTGATGTCGTTCCCACAAGTCTCYTCTCCTTTACTATTTAAAGAGGAAAAGGAATCAGATGTTTGTTTCTTTTGTTAAGACTGGACGTTGCGTGGACGCATGGAGAAGGAAGACGCAGGCAAGTGAAGCCTCCAACTACACCTGTTCATGAGAGCAAAAGATCCATAAAGCTCAGCTAAACGATGAGTGTCTTGTTTTAAAGCCTTTACCTTGCATTATTTCATGATCTACATTGAATTATGTGGGTATTAGAATAGCACACACTTGCTTTTTTTAAAAGTACAGGAAATATGACGTGTACAAAATTGTTGGTACCCCTCGTTTAATGACAGAAAACCCCACAATGCTCCCAGAAATAACTTGAATCTGTGAAAAGTAATAATAAATAAATGAACAAATGAAAGTCAAACATTGCTTTTCAACCATCAACAGAATTAAAAATAAAACTCATTAAACAGGCCTGGACAGAAATGATGGGACCCTTATCTTAATATTTTGTTGCACAACCTTTTGAGTCAATCATTGCAATCAAATGACTCCTGTAACTGTCAGTGAGAACACAGTGTGAACACTTATGTACATAAATCTTTACTTCACTGTTTGTTTTGAGATATTCAGTTATTTACATCAAATTCTGATTATTTGTTTATAAAACCAGCGCTTCCAGTGAGGTCAACTTTAGGGGGAATTTGATCACATCAAACCGAGGAATAAGTTTTAAAAGTGGAGAAATAGTGGATATAGTGTTGGGATTTGCAATAATTGTATTTTTTTAATACAATGAGTGAATGCCTTGWCAATGTATCATTTGAATAAACTGTCTGAAATCTTAAATATTTTTGGCACTTTTTTTAAACGGTACCRTCAAAAAATGATTTTGAGCAAAAACTCCTTGGATTATGATACATTTCCTGTGAGCTAGAAAACACTGTAAATACTTTGTTGTGAGGTTCAGAGATTATTCTGTTGTGATTCTTACTTCAATCTCTGAATCTTTATGTAAACAATCAGTTAACTTTTGTTTTCTAGCCCGGTGGTCCTCAACCCTTTCTGCACCATGGACCTGTTTTAGGCAGGATGGATGGTGTGAGTGTGAGGGGGGTATAACAAAACACAACAAAGTATATATTTTGTTATTTATATGATACAGTATGACTCAGCAGAATGCACACTCAGTGGGAGCCCTGAGCTTGTACTAGTCAGAGTAAAACCTGAAGCGTGTTCCTGATGTCTGGTCTGCTCTGTAATCTTGTTTTGGTTGCTGTCCCTGAAGAAAGTCCTGCATCACACAGACAGTTCATTGGAAACAGAAGCAGGGTTTCCTGTGATTCCAGGATATTCAGCTGTGATTTTAATCCAGACTTTAGTTTTTCACAAACATACTTTTAAGGCCACCATCGTTTCCTGTGTCAAACAGCTGACCTTCAAGCACGTGACAAAAACATCTCTCATGTGAACCAACAAAGACCTTAATGAGCCTCCGTCACGAGGGGCATGTACGGGTGCTGGTCAAAAAAATTTGAATATCATGAAAATTTTGATTTATTTCAGTAATTCCATTCAAAAAGTGAAACTTGTGTATATTATCTCAGAAAGTTAGACTATTACTTAAGACCAATACAAAAAAAGATATTTTTTAGAAATGTTGGCCAATTGAAAAGTATGAGCATGTACATCACTCAGTACGTAGTTGGGACTCCTTTAGCCTGGATCACTGCAGCAATGCGGCGTGGCATGGAGTCCAGTCTGAGGCTCTGCTCAGGTGTTCTGAGAGTCCAGGTTGCTCTGATAGTGGTCTTCAGCTCTTCTGAATTGTTGGGTCTGCTGTATCACCTCTTCCTCTTCACAATACTCCACAGATTCTCTATGGGGTTAAGGTCAGGAGAGTTTGCTGGACAATTAAGAACAGGGATACCATGGTCCTTCAACCAGGTACTGGTAGCTTTGGCACTGTGTGCAGGTGCCAAGTCCTGTTGGAAAAATTAAATCTGCATCTTCATAAAGCTGGTCATCAGCTGGAAGCATGAAGTGCTCTAAAACTTCCTGGTAGACGGCTGCATGGACCTTGGACCTCAGAAAACACAATGGACCAACACCAGCAGATGACATGGACCCAAACCGTCACTGACTGTGGGAACTTTACACTGGACTTCAAGCAATGTGGATTCTGTGCCTCTCCTCTTCCTCCAGACTCTGGGACCTTGTTTTCCAAAGGAAACGCTAAATTTACTTTCATCAGAGAACATGACTTTGGACCACTCAGCAGCAGTCCAGTCCTTTTTGTCTTTAGTCCAGGTGAGATGCTTCTGACGACAAGGAATGCAACAGCTGAAACCCATGTCTTCATACGTCTGTGTGTGGTGGTTCTTGAAGCTCTGAGCTCCAGGGTGTGATTATCCCAATTGCTTGTACAC